TCTGCAAGGCTAAAATTATTTTCTAAACGAAAACAAATATTTCATCATAATCACGTGTTATGACGTCCAATCTCATTAAAAATTGCATCAAACATTAATTCAAACTTTATGTGACTTATGTGCAAAAAAGATTTGCAATCGGATAAAACATGTTTATGCACCAGCGTTCCAAAAGTGGAAGGTAGCAGTCAAGCATGAGGGGGTCCAGCCACCTTAACAGACACCTGATGATGTCCTATTTGAAATTCAAATTTTTTAGCCTATATGGTTAACAAAGTTTTTTTTCCTTCAGTGATTTGAATTAAGCTTAATCATTTTAATCTAATGTCCCAAATATTAAATAACGTTAGCTTATCTAAATCATGTCAAACTTATCTAAAGAAGACTAACTGACTGAAAGTCATTTATAATTCAATTCCTAAACAAAATTGCCCAAAATTGTTTTGTTTTGCTTGCTATATTTCTTCTAGTATAATCCAAAGGGTGGTCCCATGAATCAAAATTTAAGCTTTAGTGTGCTATGTTGGAACCTATATAGCACTCAGTTGATGAAATGTATTCAAAAAATATGTCGTTCTATCTATTCGTTGTATTAATAAAGCTTATATATTAATGAACTCCTTCCAGTATTTTGGCTATAAACGAATCTGTGAAAAATAAGTTGAAAATAAATCCAAGCCCAGTTTTGACATTTTCAACGTGCGTTTCATTGATGCAAGTTTCAAAGCACGATGGAAATCAAACTTCGAATAACAAACTGAATGTTTGAACCTCGATAGGGACAAATGAATGAGTTAAACTGCAATTGATAAGCTTATAATCAATTTAAGCTAATCTAGACAAACCTCCCAAAAGATGCCTCGTTAAACTGTACGATCTCGAAGCTTGAGCTTGCAGTTTGTGAATATTTCCAGCTGCACTGCGTAAAGTTACAGGAAGAATTCCAGCAGCCCTTCTTAAAACAATGCAAGCCATCTTTTTTTTCGTGACTTAGAAAACAACCCTTTCTACCGCTTCGAATCTTCTAGACTAACGCGCATGCGTCCACGAGCCACTGGTATAGTACACAGGGAGCCCAACCAGAAGGCTGCGGTGGCTGGGTCTAAAAGGGAAGAGAAGGGAAGGATAAGCTGTTTACTCCTCCTTTTTCCCTTTCTCTTATTACTGGATTGTCTGTGGCAGATATTTTAACCTAGCCTTATTTGGTATCATCTTTTGTACAGGTAGAAATTTCGAAAACCTGGATTTCAAATAGGGGTGGCCCGGAACTGAGGCTGTTGCTATGGCAACTTATCTCTATAGTACTTTTAAAGAACAGCAAGAGTACTACAATACTAGGAAATTTGGTTGAATTTGACTGAAATTGGGCTGAGATATAGCTTCCCATAATCTTAGGTAGCTCAAGTATTTATAAGATATGACGTCATCAAGAAAAATGGCCGCCATTTTTTAAAAACCAATATCATTTTACTTTACTACCAAAGGTCTTTCAATCCAGGCAAAAAAGAGCAAGTCAGAAATTTGATCGTAGTGGCAGTGTCAGTCAAGGGAGCACGGCAGACATAAATTTGTTGATTGGTCTTCCTGTGGTAGTGACGTATGCTGACGAATACGGTTATCCGCGAAAATTAGCGTGGGCTCAAGTAAATATCAAAGATGGCGGCATATATAATATTGACGGGGAATGCAACTTTTTCAAACTTTTCGACAATGCTACGTCAGGTTGCCAGGGCCACTTGGGTTGCCAGGGCCAGTTAATGAGCTAAATTATTGCTAATGTATGCGTCCAGGTCGACTCGGTCAATGGTTATTTCATCTATTTTCTCTTTGGTTTTACGAAACTTTAACAGTTTGTTCGCCGCAAGTTCACATCTTGGTGAATTTTGGGACTTCAAAGTGAAATTGATTAGCGATCTTTCAGGCTGATGATACTGTAGCTTCAAAAACTCCTCAAATCCACAATTTCGAAAACGATTTCATCACACAGCAGAAGGATAAGTTACTCTGATAACTCTGTAAGTTCTAGATACAATTTTCAAAAAGTATTTAGTGTAAATATGCAATTCCAGTAAATATTTGAATCCTTGAAAACGAAATAATTTAAATTGTTGATTGATCGACCTCGTACTTTTAGTGCTTCATTGTTTTTTTGTTTTGTTTTGTTTTGTTTTGTTTTGTATTTACATCCTGTTCTTTGCCTTTATAGCTTTATACTAAGGCTGTTAATAATTGCCAGACGAATACCGTTTATACATGTATTAAAATCTACTTTTATAATTGTAATTGAAGTAATTTTTATTCGCCAAAAGACAAAGGCTTGCTGTTGCCTTTTACGCTAGAATAAAATCAAGTTTTTACGACTGACAAAACGATTAAAATTCAATCATTAGTAACCAACACACGGAAATCCTTTTTACGGCCTCATTATTTGCTTTGAAGGCAATAATTATTCCGTGTTTGGATTTTTTCGGTAGCAATGCCAAAAAATGAATGTAAATTGACTTCCTTTCTTTCTCTCCTCTTTTATAATTTCCTTCAATAAAAAAGTTTTGAAGGCCTGCATTTCATATGATATAAAACACACTAAATCCAATACTAACTGAAGAAAAAGCCTTTGTTTGACTGACCCGGACAAAGCATCATTAAAAGAAAAAAAAGCAACAAAATTAAGAAAACAAAGTGAAGACATTTTGGTTTCCGGTATGCAAATGTTTTAAATAAATTATCTTCCAGGCTGTTTTAATTGCTAATTTATGCTAATGCTAGGCTTTCACGATAAACAGCTGGCCAAAAACACCGTGATGAGCATGCTACAAAGTACGTTGGTAATTTCCTGATGCTGATTGGCCGATACC